ACATATTACATATACAATTTATTATATGTTATAATATCTGAAGTAAATAAAACATTAATATAATTTAGATTAATCTGAAATGTGAGTATACATTTTTTAACGCACACTATTGATACAAATTTATCCATCCAAAATAATGATGAAAAAGGTAGATAGATATACTTCAGAGTTTATCGAAAATGATGTAATTTAAATACCCAATCAACGATGCGTGCTACAAATTACAAATTTCGAATTTATTATCCCGTACTCCATTTGGCTCGTTGAATAAATCAGATAATTGTCAATATAACGTAAAGAGAAGCAGTTAAACATTCTCGACCATACCCTCCTACTCTATTATTTCGCATAAATTTCATGATTAAATATATTCCAACCTTTTCTCCTCTTCTCCTCTCCTTCCTCTCTCTCTCTCACTCTCTCACTCTCTCTCTCTCTCTCTCAATCTATCTCTTAAACTATTAAGTGAAAATCTAATTTCCATCGTGAAAATACTAGTGCTAGCTCATCGAAGAAGTTCGACCACTTTACCATGAATTCGTGATCGTTCGATCTAAGTCGAAGTAGTAGAAGCCTTCTCAAGTGGTAGAGCTCAACGAAAATCCCGACGTTAGAGATTAACTTTCGAAGATAGTGAGAATTTTCACGAGTTTTATCAGAAGACAGGCCTTCGGTGATGAAAAATAGTTAAAGTCCTATCTACTTGTCATTTGAACGAACATGAAAAAGAAAGAATAAAAGAAAGAAAGAAAGAAAGGAAGAAAGAAAGAAAGAAAGAAAGAAAGAAAGAAAGAAAGAAAGAGTGAGAGAGAAATAGAGTATTATTGGTTGTCGCATTCTCTTGTTTGAAAATCAGGGCATTACGACGCATTTACTTGCGAAGGAATAGACAGAGTGACGAACATGTGTTGTGAATCAGTGTCTTCGTTGTTATAATAGTCGTCGTTGTGTCGTATTCATAGAGTAACGTCTAGTATTCATTGTAAAAATTTAAATGTCACTCGTGTTCTATAATTACAGGCATCGAGCATGCAATGCTGTTCAGTTAACGGGGAGGTATACGTGTTGCTCTCTAGGCGCAACATGCACCTTTCCCTGCACCTGCCAACGCATCGGCAGCAACAACAACAACAACAACAGTTACAACAAAGGCTGCTCTTACACTAACGGTATACACATAGAGAAGAAAACGAGCAAGATTTCAACAACGTTCATTGGAATATCGGACACTCCCACGTTCGATGAATTATCTACGATTATGATTGTCGAGTAGGTTTGAATCTTTATTTTCTTATCATTTAAACAAAAATCTAACAAAAATCAAACAAATAGAAACGTTTATATCTGATTATTTTATTTTCGGACGGATGAAATTTGAAAATGATGATTAATGATTTGTTAGGATTTTCAGCTAGTTTCGAATTATTATACTTGGTTTTTTAAATGACTGTGTTTGTGTATGTGTACAGTTAAAAGTAGAAATTGCGAGGATATTTAATCCTTTTATTTATTTATTTACATCCATTAATTCCACTTCTTGAATTTCGAGAACAATTTTATAAAACCAAAAAAAAAGTATTTGATTGATTCTTTTTTAACATTTAAATTAAATTCTTTTATCACACACACACTATTTTTTTGTTAGAATAATCAAATAAAAATCATAGACGGAGGGGTTAAGAAAAAAAGAATACATGGACAATTAGCCGTTTATTGTAGTCGACGTAAATCAGGAACAAATTAGACAGGATATGCGAGTAATTCCAAATGAAGTTAGACTGAGAGTAAGATTAAGAGTAACAGAAAAAGAAAGAGAGAGAGAGAGAGAGAGAGAGAGAGAGAGAGAGAAAGAAAGAGAAAGAGAATCAAAAACCACCCCCGCGGAAATAAAGTGTATATCCCGCGGCGTCGGCTGCACTTTTCGTGGTTTGCTTGACTGGAGATAGCAACAGTAAAAGACAGAGAAAAAGAATGAACAAAAAGAGAGAAAGAGAGAGAATGAGAGACAGAAGAAGAAACTGAAATAGAAAACGTGTCTGTATGCTTGAGTTTGAAGTGTTTTTTTTCTCTCTCTCTCTCCCTCTCTCTCTTTCTTTCTTTCTCGTTTTCTTTCTTTCGTTATATGTGTGTGTGTGTGTGTGTGTGTGTGTCTTTCTAAGCGAATATGCGAGACGAAGAAGACGGTCTGTCGAGGAGAAAAATAAGGATGATGAAAGGAAAGGGATGAAGAACAGGAGGATTAGGGTGGTTTGCGTGGGGAAGCTCGGGTTAAGTCCTTGTGGCAAGTGGCTACCCCCTTTTTACCTTCCACAGTTTGGTTATAGACGGTGCGCCAAGTGCCATTTACACCCTTTAAATGACTCTTTGACCTTATTTATTTTTCTATTCCAAAACAATCCCAAGAATGCACTACGCGTTTCGCGTTTAATTGACCGTCCGGAAATAAAACTAAATCAAACACAATTCGTAACTACTCGCTTGTTTGTTTTCAGACAAACAAACAAACTTCTATTTTTCACTTTACTTTCTTATTCGTTTACGTCTATCTCTTTTTTTTCTTTCTTTTTTTTTTTTCTTTTTTTTATTTCCCCAACCAATTTATTCTATCAATAAGAATCCACAAATAAATGGTCGAATTTAATCAAGCTATTTATAACAGTTTTTTTTTTTTTTTTTAAATCTATAACAAGTATATTTATTTATTTATTTATTTATTTACTCTTATATCAAAAAGAATACTTTTGACAACGAAATTTCTTGCGCGATGAAATCAATTTGAAAAAATATGAAATTAATTATTCTTTCATCTCGTGATATTAATTCTTGATCAAATGATAAAAAACAGAAAAGAAACTTAGCTTGTTCGCGTCGATGTGAATATTTGTTTAAAAATGTATTGATCCAAAATGTTTCAAACAATCCAATTACTTTTTATCAACAGATCAACCCGAAAAGTTCTTACAAATTAAGAGAAAAATATTCATCGTCACACAAAAACATTTCGTACAATCCAATATGCAGATACAATACATATTATAATATACTCAAACATATACATATTTTCTTAAACATGCATAGATTTATTGATGAATATTCGTAAAGAATCGACAATAACGGATGGTTTTTTATTAACAGTTGTAAATCGAACCGGTTATTATCCTCGACATAAACATAACAAAGTTAACCCTTTCTATCGAGTCTCCTTTTCATTGAAAAAGATCACCCCATGCAGGGGTTTTTTTTTCTTTTATTTCACAATTCTCGAATATTCACACACAGAGAAAGAGAAAGAGAGAGAGAGAGAGAGAGAGAGAGAGAGAGAGAGAGAACGAAAGAGTAGATAATATTAAAAGGTACGTGAGAGCCATCTAAAACGACGAGCTCAAAAGAACTTTCGTCGGTACAAAATAAAGGTAAGAGCTATATCACACACATACAGGCTAATAGTAAAACACATATACATTGAGAGACACGTGTGTACACAAGGGGAAAAAGAAAGAGAGAGAGAGAGAGAGTTGTGTTAAAAGCTGGCGGCTTCTCTTTCTCTGATTTTAAAGCGATTTTGGTGGTGTAAAACTAACGGTGGAACTGAAGTAATTTAATTTCCCGCAACGTCGGCTATTCGCCGTTATGCAACGGGCGTAAACTAAAACCCTTCTTTCTCTCTCTCTCATACACACACTTTCACTCACTCACTCTCTCTTTATCTCTTTCTCTCAATAAGTAAAGATATTGACATTTCTAAACTCGTTATGACAAAAGACAAAACCTTGCTACCGCGTGTCATTACATAAACTATGATAATTAACTTCACCAATGTGAGATTGACTGCCTACGTATTTACTATAATACGCATTATATATATGATGTATGGTATTATGTATATACGAAACGAACTGGTTTATAAAAATGCATGCGAAACTTTTCCCTCCTTTTTATTCTTTGGAAACGATAAAATATTAGACATTACTATTAGCACGGTGTAATAATTTTGACGAACTTTTACAATTGTGTTAGAAATTTAACAACAAAAACAAAAAAATAATCAGTGTCCCGTCAACTCGATTCTCTCTCTCTCTCTCTCTCTCTCTCTATTCGCTTTAGAAAATACAACAAATTTTTTATCTATTATTTATATTCTTTTTTTTTTCTCATTATAATTTATTCGCATAAATAAAATAAAAATGTAAATAAATATTTTGCGAAAGTCACAAGTGCGTAAATAAATTTAATAATAATATTGAAAAGTAATATTTGTTCGTGTTTTTTTTTTTTTTTCTAACCGTACAATCTTGAATATAAAGACTGTTTAAATAGAGATCCCTTAAGCGTTTCTTTCTTTCGTTGAAAACCACAATGGCGAGAGAGTGGCACTCGATTTTAAGTGGAACAGACCACGAATTACTGTAGACAACGGACCAACGCCAGACGATATTCAACGTGAGACTACTATGCATCATTCGTGTTCTTGAAATCGCTTGAGAATACATGTTACCTTTTGTAATTCCTTCTTCCTTCCTCCCACCTTTCCCTTTCCCTTTCCCTTTCTCTCCCTCTCTCTCTCTCTCTCTCTCTATCTCTTTCCTTATGTCTCTCTGTTTCTCTTACAATTAAAATCGTTAATTCCAAAACACGAATAACTAAACTATTACATTGTTCATGTTTGATCACAGATTCAATGCCACTAAGAAGATTTCCAGAAATCGTGGGATGTAGTTGACCCCCTGCTGCCTTTCCAGCCGGAGAGAAAGAGAGAGAGAGAGAGAGAGAGAGAGGGAGGAAGGAAGGGAGAGGAGGGGGGAAGAGAGAGAGAGAGAGAGAGAAAGAGAGAGAAAGGAAGAAAGAGAGTGTGACAAATATCGAAAGGAAGACAAAATTTGTCAAAGTGGCAATAAAAATAAAACACCGTGAATGTAGAGAGGAAGGTGAAGAAAAAGAAAAACAACAACAAAAATAGTAGAAGAAGAAAAAGAAAAAAGAGAAGTAAAGTAAAATATAATAAAGAAAAATAAATCGCGCGTGTAAGAAAGAAAGAAGGAATAAAGGAACACACGGCGTGAGATATAATAAACGTTAAGAAGAAAAAATAAAAATATAAAATAAAACGCGTGTTGTGTGCGCGGGGCACGTAATTGCGGAAAAAGTTGTTAAAAAAGAAAAAAAAAATTGGCGCGTATGCGTGCATGATAAGAGCTTGGACTCTCGCGAGAGAGAGAGAGAGAGAGAGAGAGAGAGAGAGGAGGGTTGGCTGGAAAGGTGGAGAGGTGTAAAAAGAAGAAAAAAAAACGATAAGAAAAGGTAGAATAAAGCTGGCAGCAAGCAGGCTGGAGGGTAAAAACGTGCTACCTTCTCTTTGCCAACGACTCGAACTGGATCTCGAAAAAAGTGAATCCAATTGGAGTGAAAGAGAAAGAAGATTAGAAAGAAAAGAAATAGGAAGTGAGGAACGGTTAGAGAAAGGTGGTAGAAAAGAAGCCGGAGGAATTAAAAGGAGAAAAAGAAGGAGGAGAAGAAGAAAAGGTGTAAGAAAATTCAAGAACATCGAACTGCTATCGGTGGTTGCTTCTTATTGGCCAACGGAGAACTTCGAGTGTCGAGTATCGAACATCGAGGGTACGTTGGTTGGCCTATTTCAAAAATATGAATTTTCGATTTTTTTTCTAATCTTCTTTAACATTTCCCTTCATATTATTTCATATATATAATAGAATCTTAAAGCTTTTTTTTTTATTTCTTTTATTTTTTCTTTTCTTTCTTTTCTTTTTTTTCTCTCTCTCTCTCTCTAGTCTACGTGTTTTTACGAGCGCGGCGTATTTATTTTTTATGTCTCGTAGCAAGCTCGAGTCGGTGTTTATTTGTTCTTTTTCTTTTCTGGGATTAAGAGAGCCGTATTTACCGTTTTCACCCTCAAACCCGCCCCCGAACCCTCCCTCCATCTCTCTCTCTCTCTCTCTTGTGCTTAAGCTCAAGTTGGTGTTTCGTTTAAAGTGTAAATTAAACGAGACAATTTGTATAATTTATTATTTTTTTCTTCTTCTTCTTCGTCTTTTTTTTTATAATATAATATTTAGATATTATCGTGTGGATATATTATATATTTTTGTTTCTATCTTGTTCGTATTAATACGAAAAAAATAGGGCTTCAATCGAATTTTCTTGATAGGCTTGAAAAAAATGGATAACTTTGGTGAATGCGTAAAAATCAAAATCCGATTTTTCTCCCTCAGAGACGGAGTACACTTTATTGTAATTTAAAGATAGTGCGCTGTAACTTAACGCGTAATTTAATGTCAATTCTAAACTCTTTACAACTACTCGGGCGGTACGAGAATAAACTTTCGAGTGCTTTTAAAAAGTGTAAAATACTTACGACCGTGAAGATTATATATTTTTCTAATTTTCACCTCTAATCACGACTTACATCTATCCTAACCGCGAAATCGTCGTATTTCATTAAAAATCTAATTGATCATCGATACAAAAATATATCATTTCTACTCGATCCAATATATTGTAATATAAATATTGTACAATACAAAAAAAGAAAAGAAAAAGAAAAAGAAAAATAGTAATATTAACAAATTTTATCCCTCGTTTAAAATAAACTATACACTTAAAAAGAAAAACTTAAATAAAGGTAACTCATTATAACTTTGTATTACCTAACCGAAAGAACTATAATGATTTGTTTCTGTAATTATGAATCCTTTCATTAAGAGATGCTTTGGCACGAGTACATACGAATCTGTGCATGGAAAGTGATAATGAAGGGATTAATCTTCCTTTAAAATGTTCTATCACAATATTCATTGTCACGATCGTTTTCATTTATGTTTAATCATTAAATTATTGTCCAAATGATTCCTGATACACATAAATTAAACGCTTCTTACACATACCTAGCTGATAAAACCACAGGATTTCTTTATATATATATATCTATATATGCTACGGTCAATGTTGAGAATTTGAGCATTGTTGAAATTATTTCGCCTTGCCTTCTCCTCCTTCCGTAATTTAAAAACATCCCATTGAAGCATATTTTGCTACATACTCGGGCAATATACATTATACATTTGTATATTATAATATATATATATATATATATATTATAATAT